ACCTATCTTACGAAACCGCGCAAAACGTGAACGTGACACGTGATACGTGATACGTGAGTGTTCGTTGCAAGCCATCTGAAAGAGATTTCCAAAGTGTTGAGCCTGAAAATACAAATGATTTATTTGAGAGCAAAGTTCTTGTTTTTGGTAAAGGAAAAGCCCGGCAGATCGAGTAGGATAATGATGAATATTGACATTCTTTGTAAGCATTGAATAAAAAACATTTGACAGTTCATTTCTATTTAAATTATACATAAACCCCATTTAGTTTTGTGTATGTGTGTATTTTGGAGCAACCCCCCCCCCCCCCCCTCCCCTTTGCGATTTTGTTTGTATTAAAAAAAAAATATATATATATATATACCAATGGCTGACCTAAAAAAGGTGACCCTACCCCCCAACCTAGTAAAATGTGACCTCTTACCCCCCCCCCCCCCCCGCTTATTCGGCGGCTGGCTGAGTCGTTGCGAAATTTTCGCCCCGATTAAAAAATGTTAACCCCCCCCCCCCCCCTGAAAAAATCCTGCGTTCGCCACTGGAAGAGCATGTAGTTCGTCTTTTGTAGATTGAGAGATAGTTTATTGGCTTTGATCCATTTAGAAACACGTTTTAATTTCTGGTTGATGGTGGCAATCAACAAATGTGGGTCCTTATGGGATAAGAAAAGATTTGAGTCTGCAAAAAGGATAAAAGATACAACTTCCGAAGATTTACAGAAATCGTTGAGATATATAAGAAAAAGAAGCGGACCCAAAATAGAACCTTGTGGGACACCACAACTTATATATTTCGTATTAGACAGAGTATTGGCAATAGAAACACACTGCTGCCTATTGTGAAGGTAGTTCCTGAACCACTCCAAGACTATTTCTCTGATCCCATAATAACTGAGTTTGTACAAAAGTGTATCATGATTAATTGTATCGAAAGCCTTGGCAAAGTCCAGGAACATCCCAACAGTATGTTCAAATGTATCGATCCAGTAGCAATCTTATTAATCATGGTCAACAACGCCCGAGTCGTGCTGTGATTTGCATGAAACCCAAACTGCGACTGGTATAATAATTCATGTGTTTCCAGGAACTTAGATGTACGTGTAAAACCAATTTTCCCAAAACTTCAGATAAACAAGTTAAAAGCGATATAGGTCGGTAGTTTCCTAAAACCATATTGTCTCCTTTTTTTTAAATATAGGAATAACTCGAGCTAATTTCATTGCTGAGGGAACAACTCCAGTAGAGATAGATAAGTTGCAAATATAAGTCAGAGGTTTCACAATTTCATTCAAATTCTTTTTAAACAATATGTTACTAATATCATCATACCCTGAACGTTGTTTATTCTTCAAATCACGGATTATGCCTGCAACTTCTATTTCATCTGTAGGTGTCATACAAATTGAATTTGGGTAAGGATCATTGAGAAAATCTGTAAAATGATTAGAAGCGTCTGGAATGATACTGACAAGATTTGGGCCTATACCGACAAAATATTCATTAAACGCATTTGCTAGATTTTGTGGATTTTCAATTATTTCTCCATCTACGTTAATTTTTGAAAAGGTAATATTTTTCGTTACATTGTAAAACATTCTTAATAACTTTTTAGGTATTCTTTACATCTTTTTTTTATATTTTTTATATAAGTCAAACTAATTACTAAAATTCTCTTTTTGTATAGATCTTCTTAGTATACCTGTAAAGTAGGTTTTTTTTATGGTATACTTTTGTCTATTCTTTTCACATGGTTTTTCATTTGCTTTTATGTAAAGATTATTCTTCCTGTTTATGGAGCGCAAAATACCCGGAGTGATCCAAGGGCACCTTGTAATTCAAATCAATTAAATTCGTTTTATTAAACCATTTAAAATAAAAAATCAATATACAAATCATGCATGTATGAAAATTATTAATAGAGTATTAATGGTCAGGGTGCTCCTAAAAGCCAAGGCTTGGTTGATGGGGTGCCCGATACATAAAGAAATATACATACTATAAACACGAGATACAAAACAAACTTAATTAAAAAAAAAAAAAAAAAAACATTAAATGCTAAACATACAGGCAAAGGGAAATAGGAAAAGGTGAACGTTTGAGTTTGCTTTTAAAGGAAGTAACATTACTGCTGGAAGTTACATCAGAAGAGAGAGAATTCAATATTCGAGGACCAACAGATTTAAATGCATTAAGAGTTGACTGATTGAGTGCTAATGGATAATGGAATTTAGAGTGGGGACGGGTATTATACTGATGGTAATCTTTATTATACTGAAATAAATTCATTATTATTAAGAAGTTAAATTATGTTTCACGTAATACATCAGGATCGCAATTTGGATTTTATGAATATCAAAAATTGTCAATGTGTTTAACCTTGCAAATATTGGGCTCGACGGAGCTAAGTAAGGGGAGTTCGAACATATGCGTAAGGCCTTCTTTTGCAGCCTGTGTATAGGGTTCAATTTAGTAGTGCCACAACTTGCCCAAGTAATATTACCATAATAAATATAGGGAAGTAATAATTAAGTAATCGCTTTGTAGTTGGACCGTTTCGTTTGTTTTACAGGAAAACAACTATTCATTTTAAATGAAACAAATTATTGATAAATTATTGCATTTCCTTTGTTTTTTGTATGTATTAGGGCGGCAACGTACCCTAGCCCCCGCTGCGTACAGTCATGATTCAGTAGCTAAGCAATGGCCTCGTTCCTGTGAGGCCCCAGAATAATAACCGTGTCGATCAGCTATATTAGTGCCCTTTTATGAGGCATTAATCGTCATTACTGTCAGTTATGACTTAAGGACGAAGGTCCCCTAGTTGATTATCATAGTAGCACGCACATGCTTTAGTAGTCACGCAAAACAAAACAAAACTCGCAAATTATTATTCAATAAAATCTGAGATTGTATACTATTATTCAGATCTATTAAGAATAAATCATTGTCAAAATCATTCCATAAATTGAGTAAAATAAAACTATTCCACCTTTATGTGTACAGTGTACTTGGCCATATGTGTAGCCCTGTGATGACCATGTCCTATTTCCGCTGGTTCATACACACGCGCCACGTCAATGTACATGTATTATGTATCGTGCGTCATTTATGCTCAAACAGAGGTGGAGCTATACTGCCCGTAGATTTTGAGCCTTTTTTTAAATATTTTTAATAATTTGTTTGCGGTTTCTTGTCTTAAAGTTTACGTTTTATTGTCTTCATTTCATGTTTACAGAGTAGGTCTTTTCCATCAAAGCACATGCAACTGTTGCTCGATCGGAAGTAATAAGAATACACAAATATATAGTTTCAACCAGTACAGCCATGCAGTTGTCAAAATCTGCCGAACGAATCGTTTCAAATCTATTGGTCACATATCACTTTTTAAAAAGCAATCTGTGATATATCTAAGTCGTGTTAAAGGTATAGACCAGTTCTGGTCATGCGATTACATTGTGAAAGAAACGTTGTGGAATAGATCAGAAAACGTTGATCATCTAGCATATAAGCATTGGTGTGTACTGCAAGGTTCTGGAATCATCAACATGATAAGAAATTCGGCCCAGTCTTGGTAAAGTTACAAGCACTGTGCACAGGCAGATATATATGGGATTACATGATATCTTTCCAGTCCGGACAGATATAATAGTTTACTAAATATATCAGTTAGTCGGCGGTTTCCCGGCAAAATTTGTATCATCACGTGTCAGACAAAACATATTGTTTCACATGATTGGTAATAAGAGCTTCCATTTCATTTTGGGAGAGGGGGCGTTTCCAAAACTGGTCTATACCTTTAAAAGACTTAACATTTTACAGGCACACTAGCATGTTCTACACAATGTTCACTTAGAAGGGGTTGAATGTTTTGTTAATTCAAAGGTTAAGTCCACTCCACAAATTATTTGTTTTTAATAGATGCAGGAAAACAAGAGAAACAGAGCAAACAAAATTTAGTTAAAATGGATAACAAATAAGGAAGTTATGAATTTTGGTTAATGTATGAACAACTATGGAAATTTGAAAATCACTACACAAATTGTCAATGTGATTATCAGTTTGTGACGTCATTGTCTCACTATTTATCAATTACTTTATATAGTTCTATCTCATTAATTTTCATTTTTATCCCCAAAACTTGATTTTCCAATGTCTTAACCCAGGTTTAATGATTTGTTTCTGATTGCGTGCATGACATTTCTCAAAATCTTTTATGAACTTTGAGGAATTGATACTATTTTCTGAATATTGAATATTCATATTTCAAAGGCGTATCGTGTCGAAGATTACAATCAGAGAATAAAACCAACTGAGCATGGTACACAAATGCCTTCAAAGTCCGGGATTAAGACCTCCCCATCCTCCTCACCTTCCCCAACTTCTTCAACAGGTGAGTTTATTTATATTATACATGTATGTACATTTGTTCTCACAGACTCTGAGATCACTGAGTCTATTCGGATTTCAAATCGGAAGTTCGTCAAGTGCATGCGTTGTGACGTTGGGTGAATTAATTATTTTACATTGATAATCATCAATTCTTTCTTTTTTAGACCTTATGAATAGTAGACGAAATGGGCATGAGACAAACTTAAATTAGACTAAATGAGCAATAGACCAAACGTGTTGTAATCTTATTCAAGATTGGACCGAATGGAAATAAGGCCATATACTTAAAAGGAATACAATTTGTTTTCTTATGTTTTATCCGATTTCGTACAAATGTTAGTATAAAAAAACAAAGATGGTTTATCTAACTTTGGATATCTGTCCACAACTTAATGTGTAAGCTAAGCAACAGTTAAACAGAAATTGAATGAGATGCTTAAAGGATTAACAAATACTATATTTGTGAGAATATTCTTCTTTTCAACTTATTCCTGTCATAATAAGCATGCTTCAAAATTACATTAAATCAGTGGCCTAAACTACATTTATTTAAAATATATTTACGTCAGAAGAGAGGTTAATAGAAATATATCTCCTCTAATTTACAGTACCAGGAGAAGAAAATTTCAAACCAATCAAGATGGAATGTTGTAAGAGAATTGGAGTTGAAGGTGGCAAACTTCAGCTAGATTCCTTTGGGATTGAACTTGTGATTCCTCCCGGTGCAATTGGCAGCGAAGCGCCGCAGGACATTTCTCTTCGTGTCCTGACAGATATTCCTAATCTTGGCAACAACAAAGAAGAGATGTCAGTCTGCTTTGGTGTACAGTGTTTAGCCCCTGATTACTTGGTCCTCAAGTTACCGGTGACGTACACAATACCTCACTGTGCTGTGATTACACGATACTCCAGTGTGGAGGCAGTCTTGTACACGGGAGAGGGAGAATACTCCCCCGGTAAGTAAATCTTAACGTGTATATGCATTCTATTTTTAAAGCCAGCTTTGAGTTTGTGATATAGAAATAGAAAATCTGTCATCTAAAGATACATGTATGTAATAGCCAAGGAATGCTTAGGTTTCGTTGTCAAAATAAAGAAGGTAATGATAGTAGGTCTTACATGTATCTTCTACACAGTAATTCTTATTTGCAACTTGCATCTTATATGACAACTTTAGCTGTTTAATCAGTCCATAGATTTCTTATTCCCTAAATTCTAAAGTTTTCCCTCCTCAAATCGGCAATAATGAATTCAACAAATTCCATTCCTTCACAGGTTGAACAATATGAAAATGTTTATAAAATTAGCCATTGTGACATAAAAAAAACCTGCACCAACAAAATTGCCAATCTGTCCACCCCAAATAGGGATCTTGTATTCGATACCACGTATCAAAGTTAGAAACTTTAAATTTCTGTGATTTTTGCTCTTTCTGCACATGTATAATGTGCCATTATCGTTGATGAAGAGTTACAAATAAAACATCATTATAATTTGACACTCCACTGCTATGAGTTAACCATACATTTGTAACTCTTTCAAGTTTTAAACATGAAGAGTTATCTTCCTAAAGTAAAATCACAGCATTAGATAACTTTTATTACATTTACATTACCAAATAATTATATCTGTGGTTTGTTTTAGCTTGCTTAGTTATACTGACATATATGTAAAGAATTAAGGATCACATGGGAACTCAAGGTAGATATATCTTAGATTAAACCCTTGTAATAATTTGATTGCAGGGTCCTCATAGAGAAAAGTAAGATGAGGCCACTCTGCGTTGTTAGAGGATTTTTATGCACCTTACCCCCCCCCCCCCCATTCATTACTTGCATGAAATACGTATATAGCCTTTCTCGTACCTCTCATATAAATGTAAGTAAACTGTATGCTAGGCAAACAACTACTGTAGTTTCTATTATAAACATTATGCAAACAAAAGATAGCTCATTTTTAATGATGGCGTTTTGTTTGTACATGCATATAAAGAAATATACTTAGTTACTTACCGTATCAGGACAATTACTCCCTGGACAACCATTCCCCGGATAATTACCCCCGGAAATATACCCCCCCCCCCCTCCCAAAGATAATAATCCCCGGGAAATTACCCCTAGGACAATTACCCCCAACCCGTGGTAAGTTACCACCATCTCTGAATATTACCCCCAGGACAATACCCCCCCCCTCCAAAAAAAAGGGGGGGGAGGCAAGGACAAGGGCATCCTTCCCCGAGGAGAATTACCCCATCACGTTTTTATTAAAGGGAACGTCTACCCTGATATTAAGTTGGTTTTAATAAAAGCAGATTTTTTGTTTCGGTGGTAATTGTCGACGGTGTGGTTGTCCTCTGGGGGGGGGGGGGTGGGGTGGAGGGGGAGGAGCGGCGGTGGTAATTTTCTAGGATGTAATTTTCCAGGATGTAATTTTCTGGGGTGTAATTGTCCCGCTGGTAATTGGCCAGGGGTGATTGTCCAGGGAGTAATTGACCTACAACCGTTACTTACGTATCTGTTCATATTAGACGCAGAAGTAAAGGAACAAATTCCATTAACACAGTCTGGAATACCCAACTGCAACATCGAGAAAGATATACTTACATTGCAGATGAATCACTTCTCTTGGGCGTTCATCCGATTCAAGTTGAAGAATGCCTTCTTTAAAGGGAAGCACATGCATTGCCTGCCATTTGCTGAAAAGCAACTACCAGAGGAAAGAACTTCTGTCCTCTTACGTGCACATCTCTATGATGGCATGAAAGGGAGCAAGGAGGTAAGAATATTGTTTAAATGGATTTGGCAGTGTAAAAGGCATTGTCAATGTTACTATGTTAATTCGATTACATTTTGTTAATACTATCTTCGGATTTTAGTTTATAACTATTATGTACAATTTTTGTTTCGAAGCAACATTTACCCCAAGAATAAATATGAACTCTAGAATATCACAAACTCTATCCTGTAATGTAATCGACATCTATGGTCCATTGAAATCTTGTGTCACAAAGATGGGAAAATAATCTCCTGACACTTCCGTCTTTCTCGATTAATTTAAAAGGTTTGCTACTTTAGGAGAAAAAAGGATATGTGTTACATGTATTTTTATGTTTATTTGGGGTTAAGTTTCAGAAGTTCCACCTGAAATATTTACCAAAAGTAACAACACACCTCCATTCCCACGTAGAATATTCCATACTTGATAGGTGAATTAGGTATTACTTCACTATGAGCTCTTAGAACGAAAAAGCATGAAAAGTCATTTAACGGTATATTTGCAATCATTTATACAGTATCTGATCAAAAGATTACAGAAGATAGGAAGAAGAAAAGCGGAATTAGAGCCACTAAGAGCAACTCATTCAAATCAATGTTAACAACTTGAGAGTGATATCTAAGTAGTTTCCAATTGACGTTTAACTTTCTATTTTATTCTTTTCACTTGCTATTATTTGTACTTTGGTAAATCGTTTTGCGACAGTTGGTATCCCAGGAAGAAGACATAGTAGGTTTTGTTCGTATTCATCCTGTGGCAGAGGTTCTTATCAATAAGGCTGAAGTGGACGTCATGATGTCTTGTTTCATAGACGGTGATTCAATTGGAGATGCCGTAAGTTATACACTGTCTTGATAGGTTCTGTTTAAAACTATTCGCAAGAGGTGACTCCAATAGTACTATTCGCTGAGGGGCGCAGCCCCGAAGCAAATGGTATATTTGGAGTCACCGAGGCCCATAGTTTTAACCAGTACCTCGAATAGAAGGCATGGTATATTTGTTTTATATCCTGCATCAATTTTTTTTTTTTTATTAACAAAAAATAAAAATTTGGAAAGAAAACAAATTAGAATAAACAAATGTCATTTTTATCTAAAAAGATTTAAAATATTTTGTTTTCATTAATTTAAGATTTGAAAAAGAAAAAAATGAAATTCAAAAAAGAAATTCACATTTTTTGTTCAACTCCCAAATAGTACTCCTAAATAGTACTCTCATAAAGTACTTTCTAAAAATAATTCAAATATTTCTGGTCATTTGACAAGCTCTCAACCAATCAAAAGCCAACATATTTTTGATGCAGGATATAATCATTATTATGATGTTGATAATAACAAAGATAATAATAACTATAATTATAATATTAATAAAACTAATTATAATAAAAATAATAATGACAATAATAGTGATAAAGATATATTATATGATTTGTAAGGCACCATGCACATTCACTTGATATTAAATGCTCAAGGGGCACTAGTGCATACAACAAAACAACATTCACGTTTCTACACAAAAGTACCAATGAGTAAGATACAACATATCAACAACAACAAAAAGAAGGAAGCCAAATCAAACGTTATTTTTAGATTGTTTTTGAAATCTTAAACTAATCTGCAATTTATAATCCTTCGAGGAAGAGCATTCACTGTTAACAGGTCGTGCATGAGCACTTTGTATTTAGCTTCATCAAGAGTTTTGAGAGCGTCAAGATCTAGACAGAATGTTGTGATTTATCAAAGTAATATTGTATTGTGGAGCAGAGCCATGGACATAATGAAATAATATCAAAATAATTTTGGAACAAATGCCCTCATCCTTGGCAAACAGTGTGATGCTTTTAATTAATTTCATTCAATAATGACAACATCTAGACAAACAGTGATCACAAAAAATATATATATTTTTGGAGAGGGTCGCATGGATACAGGGGAAAAGAAAAGATGAACTAATTAACTGAAAGCCGAAGGTCTTCTTTCCCAAGGGAAGCTTTGAAAACATGTGTGGTCTGACCGTGTTTGATGAATTATACATTGTACAACTTCAGTGACACTACTACACTGACTGTGGACCGACTATTTTTTTTTACCATTAAGGATAATGCGATATTTGAAAGGTAGTCGAACTGAAATCAGACTAGGCGAGGGTGGAGTATTAGAAAATACAGATTATGGCAATTTTTCAGTGATGAAAAGCAGACCACTCAAAATATTCTTACAATTTGCAATATTTTTAAAAAATGAGACTAATCCTGTTGACTCCAAAACTAATTCAACTTGTTTTCCCAAAAAGGGAAAAATATGAATTCCATTCAGACAGTTCTCCAAGCCAAGCTCGGTGTTCAATACATGCATCGTTTTGAAATATCAATATCTTTTAACATGCTCGTCCGACACATTAATATTTAGAACAAATTGTCACCAATATGTTTAATTGGGTTTGATTTGATTTATTTTGATTTGATTTATTCAGCAAGAAGAAATACGTGCGACACACATACCTTTGTATACAATTATATGTATGTATATAAAAGAAGGAAAACATTGTTTGGTAGTTATATGCTCTTTCTTTCGTAGACTATCAAGTATGACGAACTATGGAGAGGACACCATAGGATGAAGTCGTTTGTATTGGACCTGACAAGCCAGCCAGATGAAAGAATAATAGTGACCCTGCAAGTAGGACAGACAGGACAATCACTGGAAGAACTGCGTTGTATATTCAAGTTTACAACTCCTTGTAGATCCACTAGTCTCCGAACTCTTTGCCCAGGTATTCATAACTGTGTTAAGCCCCCATCACACCAAACTAGTTCTCACTACGTTCCAGAATCTTCCTCTAACACAAATCGTAAAGCTGGTCATGGTTGGGGCAAAATGTGTAAATAATGTCTGTGATACGATCCTTTTTCGTTGATAAACAGTCCTCAATACGTCCATCTCGTCTGTACCACGTCCACAGTCAGTTCATGTCAAGTTCAGATCGGGTAAATTTGCCATTTCCAGTCAGTTCAAGCCAGTCCATAGTCCGTTACAAGTTATTACTTACTAGTTGTACCTCGTTCCCAATACGTCCAAACCAATTTTAACTAGTTCGTCACTTGTTCTCATAGTTTGTAACCCGACCACTCCGTTGAGAGACAGTTCAACTCGTCCTCATTTCATTCTTAGTGCGTTTGAACGTGCTCCTAGAGCGTGTGCAACTCCATCCTGGCTCGGGGGCTATAAAAAAAAAAACCAGCAAGTTGTCGCCATTCCTCATTCCCGTTTAACTTCAACGCTTCAAGCTTTGCAGATCAAGACATTCAAGTGAAGCCCCCATCTTACGCAATTAGTTCTCACTACGTTCTGGAAAATGTTGCCAAACGGGCTCAAACTGTGTGCGACCGGAGTGAACGTAGTAGCATCTGTTTACGATCTTTTTAAGAACTATTTCATGGACGGGCTCGGACTAGCTTGGACGGGAAGGGTGCTCTATAACTTTGAGCCTGTTCAAAATTGTCCCCGTCCTGGAATTAGACGGAGTGACAACGTACTTAAAACGAGATGGACGTACTACGAACGGAATTGCCTCGATCCTACTAGCAACGTCTTACAACGTGATGTGGTCGAACCTCAAACAGCAAGAACGCGCTGGGTTTTTATAGAACTCGAGCCAGGACAGGATTGCACGCGCATGGTAGGAGCGCGTTCGAACGCACTAAGAACGAGATGAGGACGAGTTGAACTGTCTCTAAACGGGGTGGTTGTGTTATAAGCTAGTCAGAACAAGTTGTGAACTAGTAAGAATGGTTTGGACGTATTGGGAACGAGGTATAGTTAATGACGGGCTTAGACTGTTTGGAAATGGCAAATATACCCGGTCTGAACTTGATATAAACTGACAGTGGACTGGGTACGGGGTACAGACGAGTATTGTGTAATGTTTATGAACGAACTAGGATCGCATTATAGACATTAGTCCAGGCCAGGCCAGTCCATGAAGTCCTTAAACATATCGTTAACATTTGCTACTACGTTTAACCCTGTTTTTAAACAGTTTTAGCCAGTTTGGCAACATTTTCTAGAACGTGGTGAGAACTATTTTGGTGTGATGGGGGCTTTAGTAAGACAAAGTTGGCATGATTTCAATGCATTTTTTTGGTAACTATTTTATTAAGTCAAACAAAATATATTACAATTCAATGAAATTAAGTCTTTCCTTAACTGAAATGAAACATAATACTTCCAAATTTCTCTCCTTGTTTCTCATACAACCAAATGTTATGGTGACTGCCATTTAGTAAACAAATTGTTATACATACCAGATATAGAATGAATATATCTCTTGTCTTCATAATATTGAATAATTTTCTTCTTCAAAGAACTAAAGTTTGGAATTTTGTTATTAATCTTTTGAAGAAATAGTTGATTTTCAATCAAAGTTAACATGCAATTTAAATCATCGTTTCTTTTGTTTTCAGAACAAAAAATTGCATTTTCTAAATTTAACTCAATCTGTACTCGAGAACCCTTATTTATTCATTTCACCGTTTCACTTCAGATTGGTTTACTGATTTCACAATTGTAAAAGAAATGTGCAATATCTTCCAGCTCTTTTTTTAAAACAAAAATTAACATTTATCATTACTCACTATTTTCATCTTTTACATTTACTCGTTCATATACAGAGTCCTATTTACTATCTTATACTGAAAATGCCTTTAACCGATATCTGTGTAAAACGAAATATCATTCGTTGATATTTCTGCATTATTGGACATTCAAGAGTATACATTTAAACGTCGTTCCTATTTCAGACAAATAGAGTGCACTCACTTCATTTTTCTAAGAAAAGTTTTGTAAATATATTGACAACCTTTTATGTCATGTACTAATATGATGATATGAGACGTCATTAAATGATCTACTACATTTTTCACATTTTTAATATGCATTTGATATCGACACTATATAGCTTGAATAATAGAATTAAAATAATTTAGTTTCAAGCAGAATTCTTGTTCACATTGCTCACGAGTCAGACGTTTTCCCTTTTCATCAATCAAGTCATTTGTATACATTTGATGCAATGCAATTATATGTAGTCATTGCCTCCGGTAAACAAATACTGTATGTAATGTATTCTGTTCCCTCTGGCTATAAACAGTGATTTGCAGCTTTGGTCATTTTCATAGATTTGGAAGGAAAAATCCTTGGTGCATGTACATGGTCCAATACCACACTGGTAATGAACACAAAATTGAAGGCGTCTTTAGCTTTAGTGGCCTCATTTCGGAAACTAGAGTTGCTCTCTTACTTTGGAGTTATCAAAGAGAATTAAACATTATTAGCAGTGATTGTGATCACAAACACAATAAGGATCACAATTGTCCTTCCTATATTTGTTATACTGAAAGCAAATGAGCCTTTAAATTAGATGCATGTATTACATCTGGAGCCATGAAGGTGTTCAATCTGCATTAAATATACAAGTTAAACAATTATCCTGACAAACTTTTAAGGACATTGCTGCCTCCATTATGAAACGTAATCATCTTTGCTAGATACAAAGCGAAGGATTATTAGTTATCATAATATAATTTGTTTTAATTTATAAAACATGATCTCCTTTTCGGTAAAAATGATAGCTTTCCAGTTCCTTATACATCAATTCGTTATTTGACTGGTACTTTTGTCCCGATTTCGACAATTTGTAGAACAACTGCAGGGTTCATCAAGTTCACAGACACAGCAGACATCACATCAAAGTACAGATGAAACTCCGGAGTAAGTTATGATCGTTTATTTCACCTGTAATGAAATAACTGATGTCTTTGCATGAGGGAGGGGCGAGGGGGCAGTTTACACATCCCCAACAAATTTGCACCACAAAACAATGACTGCACATATAAACTATTGCCAGGGTAATGATATTCGAGTTGCTTCCCCAAAAATGCATGATTACAGTGGACATTATTTCGTAATATATTTTGTGCTTGATTGTAATGTGATTTTACAATTAAAAAAAAAAAAAAATCTGTAAACAAAGAGAAGGGGATACTGGGTTCAACTATCTTATTAATTAAACTTCAATATACATAACTGAATGCTGTTAGCACGCTGTAAATGGAAACCATTTTGATGCTTACTCACAAATAAATAAAAATCTGATCTGATATCACTGTTACTCATGGTGCATGTGATATCATATACAAATCAAAAGCATGACATTTCAAATTAAGAAGAAATGGGGAAGGAATTTCCGTTGCACTCTACCCGTCGAGGCAAATTAGGCTCCAGACAAATGATAACGATTATTTATTTAATATACATGCAGCCATTGGATAGTATTTTCAGCCCTCCCCTCTGTTGTCAGTACATGGTATTTGAAAGTTAATTTTAAAAAAAATATATGATTATGTAAGGAACATTTCAGGTAGAAAGGAAGACTTTGACGAAAAACTGGCCACTGTTGCTCGAAAAATTGGAAGGCGTGATGAGATAGATAATCTCGGGAAGGCTCTCGGCTTCGATCCAGAAGATATCCAACGTTATGTCGACACAAACATGAAGACTTCAGAAGTATCATTCATGGGTACACTATCAATGCTTCGAAAGTGGAGAAAGAAGCAAACCAAGGCAACAGAGTGTGAAGCCCTGAAGCGTGCTCTAAAAGAGGCTGGTCAAATTCGTCTCGCTGATGAGCTATTTGGTACTTCATGAGATGCGAATTGTATGCTTCGCTCTTGAGGACTACATTGGTCCAACGATATATATATTGCTTTTTGAGTTGTGTAGCTTATAGTAGGAGACCAGCCTGTAGGTCCCGTGACCAAATTCTGGGAACAAAGGTTTGAAAGTGTTTTTTGTGTTCCCTGATGAATACAAAATTTAGTAAATCACAGGGTCACGATGGAATTAGTGCTTTCCTTCTTAAACACGTCATACACTTGATCGCTTGTCCGTCTCATTGTACATTTGTATATGTCTATTCCTGCCTTGATAGGATAGCACATCGAATTTAAATATATCTTCCTTTTACTAGACACTGTTTATAAAGATCCATTTTGTACATGTATATCTAATTTTAGTTTACTGTATGTTAGGCAAATTCTTTGTAGCTTGTACAATAAATTATGTACATGAATTCAAATGTTTGTTAATCCTATTGCTATTGAAATGATATTTTGTTTTGAATAACTTTTTAAGCATGTAATATATTTTTGATTGTTTTGAAAGAATTGTCAACACAGCGTTATTTTGCTTACATTTTGTTTTCTTCCAAAATAAATATAAATAAATGTACTACAAATTGCTGCACTTTGAAGTGAAGTCATCAGCAATTGCATTGGCTTCAAAGGTATCACGCATGACTATGTACATAAGCCTGATATAAGATACTTAAAATATCATCACAAAGACCATGGAAAAATCAACTCAAGAGTAATTTCCACACCCTTCTATAAGCCCATAGAAACCATGTTAAGATTTTGTAATATGCCGTTGTAATTTTCATACATTTCGATAGGTGATGATGGTCAAGACTAATGGAATTGCCTTATGTTGATTTGTGTGAAGGTCTCAGTGATCGGACTTATAAATACTACATGATTGGTAATATAAATATGAAGGAAATCATGTTGAATCCCCTATGTAATGGTATCTACACAGGTAGATGAATAATTTGCAAAAGCAAATACATTTGTGATACTTTTATAAGGAATCCTATATTTACTACAACTTTTAACTGACCCGTTTTTATTCTAGAGGATGGCCTCAACGTCTTTGTAGAAATGGCTCGTAAACGGTTTTTATTGTAGAACACAATATTAACCCCTCAATGTTTCTTTAATCAATATTTATATGTACTTATTGTTATTATGCAAACATATCATCAATTGTTAATCGTCAGGATATCACTACACAAAAGTGTATCTGAGATGAAAAACAGAGGCCCTAAGTAGTAACTTCTTTTGTAAACATAAGATACTGAAATAGAATTGTTAAATGTGAACTATGATTGCAAAGTGCTACAACATAATCTGCAGTGTGGAAATGATCTACATAAAACCTTTATCATTATCATTAGTAATTTGATGTATTGCCTATAGAAATGCGCGAGATTTGTGTTGCCCTATTCTGCATTAGACATTGAAAAAAGGGGCTGACATTGCTACCAACACGCTTTGTTTTATTTTGAAATATTCCATGAAGACATTCTTTTGATTTCATTCATTTACATCTTATTACAAGGAGAAATATTTAAAAGGATTTTTTAGTTTGTAGATTCTTATCTGTGTATTTCAAAATAGTAACAATTACAGTGTCCTGTTTACCCATTCGTCATGTCAAACGGTGAAATACATATAGGCCACATACATTAAGATATCTTTCAGATGTTTGTTGTGAAACAAAGAATGCGCCATATCTGTTACTTATACTTCATATAATTCCTTCAAAGATTATTGTGCCGAACTTCTTTCATTTTGTAAAAATTATGACCTTCCATGTTCATGTCCTTGATACTCCAGCCTTTCAAGAGTATGTGCTGGAATTAGTTTATCATGTTTATAGTGTACTCTTCTGTACGTCATGAATACTATCTGTATACGTGTATGCCAATATACAAAGTGTGGGATGTACCATGCATGTGCATTCCAGTTATTCAACAAGTAAAGGCTTGTTCAGATATGGCGCGGCAAGCCACCGCAAAAAAGCAGCCGCGATTTGATACGTGTCAATTATGCATGGCAAATGCGTGCAACAAAGTACCTGCGTGCATTCAGTGAGCTCTGTTTATAAATTACGGAAATGATTAGCGTTTTACACTCTACGTCACCATGAAAAAACGCAAATGTTTTGCTGCTTGATATGTGAACGACCCTTAAAGGGGAAGTCCACCCTGAAATTAAGTTAGTTTTTATAGGAGTAGAACAATGAGAGAAACAAGTCAGTGAAAGTTTGAGCAAATTCCGATTAAAAATAAGGAAGTTAGGATTTTTTAAGTTGTGATCAATCAAAGACAAATTGGCAACTCTATGACGTAAAATGCGAGCTCAACTTACATTTGCTTAGTACTAAAAAAAATCTAAAATTTTCATTTTCCCTCAAGAAAAAATTCAACCATACATGCACCCTAAATATAATAATTGCAAATATGTTTCTATACTCCCCCTGCAAGGAACAAATATATATTCCGTCATCAATAACGAAGAAAACATGATTTTATGGAATATTATGCACAGAGCAAATGAAGGAGAGCTCGTATAATAAGTCACAAAGTTGCCAATTTGTATTTGATTGATCACAACTTCAATAATTCATAACTTTCTTATTTTCATTCAGAATTTGCTCAAACTTTCACTCACCTGATTTTCTTATTATTCTGCCTCTATCGAAACAAACTTATTTTGGGGGTGGACTTTCCCTTTAACGTGACACTAAACATGAATAGCTGACATAGCACACTGTTTATTACACAGCGCCATCTCACGGTCATTGCCATTGCCAACAGTGCAGCTAGTTACGAGACCGTATGCCACAGCTGACCTGAGGTGGCGCTAGAGGTATTGCTTCTCGCACAATGTACAGTATTATAATGTTCTAATTCAAAATGAACTTATTCATTGAAATCTGACATTTATTCTGGTAATGGCTATAATAATGATCAATGAATATATATAAGATAATGTTTGTAAACTGTATATTACTAGCAACTGCACACGAAGAGGTTACTTCTCTTTCTCAGCTCTTGCTGAGTCATTCACTCTGACTAGTGAATTTTATTTTCATGTATATATATCTTTTTGCTATTCCAACACATCAAATATGTGTGATATCTTGCACAGCGTATATAAGTAGACGATAATCGTAACAGATTCATTTTGTCTTCTATAAATATGAGCTTCATTTGCAATCGTTTTTTGATACCCCCGAATCGTATTATAAGTATTGTAAGAATTGTTGTCAGTGCTACATGTATTTGGATTTCTGATGATATGATGTAGATGAAATTGATTTTGTATAGACCTATGCCTGAAATACATCGAAGTAGTACTGCTATTTCGTTGTGTGATAACCTGTCAAATGTATAGGCCTATTGTTAAGTGTCATCAGTATTACTGATGTGAGTTAGTCTGGCGGTAATGGCCGTGTTCTCTGTCTTCGTCTACAAACTGATCCTGATAGGAGCGAAACTGAGTCGCGTCTTTTGGATAGTGATGTTTATTCAGATATAAATGTAAATTTTAAAAATAATGTTGTTTTCTGTAATTTTTGCCATGGACCAAATCAATTTTCAAAGATTAATTTCTTTTTATTTAAGGCGAAACATTTTGAAATTAAAACCATAGGCCTAGTTATGTATTACTTTTACTTTTTCCATTCGTTTTTTTTCTCTATCAGCTTGGTGAGCTAAAAATAAAAGTTAGTGCATGCTTTCTTCAATATTTCACTTTTGATGCGTATTTATGTTGTAAATGAGATAAAGAAAGTTGCATCGCATAACCAATTGATCGACAGATTAGTATGTGATAGAGACAGAGGGAGAGAGAGAGAGATAGGGGGCGGAGAGAAAGAGGGAAAGAGGGAATGATTGACAAGGTAGTAATATAAGAGAGAGAGAGATAGAGAGAGAGAGAGAGTTAGAGGGGGCAGTGCTACATAAATAGAGCAGTTGTAATGTTGAGAGCTATAAATTGGCTATAAAATAGAATTTTAATTGGGAAATTTATCTTGATTAACTTAGCAACAGTTCATTGAACAGGCGGAAAGAGAAGGAAACAGAGAGAGAGAGAGAGAGAGAGAAAGAGACAGAGAGAGGGGATAAGAGAGTAGGCAAGGAATGGAAAAGAAAGTGGGAATGAGCAAGTTGATTTTGTTTAATCATCTTCTTACATATAAAGTCCAGTAATAAAATCCAAAGTGAACTAGAATAAGAAATATAAGCCGATAATTTACCAGGCTCCTTCCTGGCTGTAAGGTTGAGGTTGATAAGCACTTCTAATAATTATAGTTATTAAATAAAATATATTTTCGAAAATACCTGCCATGAATTCGTCCGGGCAACCTAATATGAATATTATTTGGGGAATCCGAGCCGCCCTATCCCAGCTGAAGCTTTCTCTCTCTACCCCTCTCTCTCTCTCTCTCTCTTTCTCTCTTTCTTACTCTCTGAGCAAAAAGTGGGCAAATCTTTTAATCCGTGAGTAAACGAAAGAAACAGCGCTGATAAAGAGGTATAAAGGTAAACCTTTAAAGTCAAGATTGCATACAGACATGAGACAGTGTTGATTAAGTACACACCTTTTTTTGTTCGGGGGGCGGGGGGGGGATACATGCATCAGAATGCTTTTAAGTATAATGTAAGCAAAAAGGTATAAAAGAGCGCTTAGATCTTACACATCACATGACTCTCCACATTAGTAAACCGCTTGCAGTTGACTTCACGTTTATTGCTCAATAAACAGTTTCAGAGGCACAGAAACGGTGTTCTCATGCTAGTCATAATAACATATGAGATTTGTATCCGTCTTCCTTTTCTATTTGTTCACTCATATCATCAAAATTTTGGGTAGTTCTAAATGTTAAATTGGGAGACCCGTTCATATTATATTCCATTGCGTGCCTACCTAAAATCGAACAATGACAAATTCTGATATGCACAGCTTATCAGATTGAGTAGATGAAAAGAATATGAGTACCTTTGACCTCCATATCGTAACGCTCGACATGATTTGACACTCTGTTAGAATGTTGTAATACTCGGGTAAGCTATGAATGTATGACGCTGTGGTTAGGGGATGTGCTGTAGTACTGGGTAGTTAGAAAGGCATGGTGAATAATGACAGCGCTTAGGTTTAATTCTCTGTACGGGAATGTATTGTGACAGATAAGAAGCATTTTATTTCAAATTTTCCGTGTAAAAAAAAGAGGACAGAAAGACAAAAGGTCTCTCTAATTACTTATCTCTTGAACTCTCTACACGTCCTTTCCGTCCTCACAATTCTATTATTTGTCAAACCAATGTTTCTTTTCTCCATCTCTCTACTTACACAAGCACGAGCAAATACACATAACTTCCATGCTAATATCCTAGCAATTATTCATCTCTTTCATTTTGTATCATTCTACTGGATTTAAAATACACATTTTTCTATTCAAACTTGTTGTTCTCTTGCCCGTAAAGTATTCCATATCTTTTATGTACAGACTGCTACTCATCCTTCCTTCTTCTGAATATATGTTAATATCATGTTAATAGACATATAGATGAGTATAAACATTGGCAATGTTCCACTGCTAATGAGGAAAACACCTGTATTTCATTATATTAAACGTAATGCTAAATAAAGACGATGA